TCCTCTTTTTTTTTTTAATAATTTCTCACAGTTATAATTTAGCAACTGTGTCATTTGACATTTTCAAAACACTTGCTCAGAATGACAGGTATCATTAGGGTTTAGGTCTACTAATTCTGAATTATGCTTGTGAATGAAAGTTTGATTTTTATATAAAGTGTTCTGAAGATTCCTATAAATATAGAAATATTTGTATAAATATAGAATTTAGGATATCCTTTGAAAACAAAGCAGTTTTATGGATGTCTTGCATTTCCCAAAGGATGCTCTGCTGTAATTTAATGGTTCCAGACTTCTGTCCTTTTTGATTGTAGTAATCTTGTTTATGGAGTCCTTTGCATGCTTGCCTCTGGGCATGAAATCGGATCCATTTAGGATCTTCTTCCCAAATTTTTTCCTCTGTGTTCCTTGCTCTGGCAGGGCTTTTTGGAACCTCTCTAGCAACAGGTTAAGCATTTTCTTTTAGATTTAGGGTTGAATCATGGATCAGCTACCTGGAACAGCTACATTTGTCATTGAGTCTAGAAACATGATTTCTCAGCCACTCTTTTCCATCACACTGATGATTTTTTCCCATATCATTTTAGTTATTTTGTGTTTGGGGCTGCCATATCCTAGTTAATTCTCCTTTTGTATTTGTACATTACAGGCATCAAAATTGTAAATTGGATTGAAAAATGTCTCCTTGGACTGGCTTGAAAGTGAAACAAAGACTTTTGAATGGATATAATGTGATGATTATGATCCTCAAATGAAGGGAAGTAATAATTTTTTTCCTATTTATCAGTTTTCCAAAAGAGCCTGGAGGTTTCACAGAGATGTGCAGTTCAGCAGGGTGAGTTGGGTATGGCAGTGGAAAACTCCTTCACTGCACAAATTGCTGTGAGATATTTTATTGCTTGAATCATTGGCTAGGACAGACAAGAAATTACGGTATTGTCTTAAAAATTGCCACACCTGGGTTAGTCCTTGCTGCTTCTTTCTTCCTGCAGTTTAGCTCTCAACCTCTGGGCATCCTTTGAACTCTTCCTCCAAAATTACTTCTCCAGGGATTTCAAATTTCTTCTCTGGGGTTTCATTCTAACCAAACCTGGTATTCTGCTTCTGAGGCTGTGTTGTGTGTCTTGCTATGCATGTTGATTTTTAGATTCAGACCTCTGAGCTATATTGAATTTGGGTCTCTGCCTTCCAAAGCTGTCACAGAGTAAGCTGAGGCTGAAAACCTCAGGCAGATCTAAGCCAGAGGAACTTCTGGATGCTTTTAACACCACATTAAGGGTGGGAACTGATGGAGAATTCTCAGATGAGACTTCAGTTAAGTTTAAAGTGAAGGAAATTCACCTGCAAAAGAAAAAGTGAACATTTCTTATTATCAGAAAAGAAACAATGATCTTTAGGCTGTTAGAAACGCAATTTAGAAAGTTTAGACATATAATTTCCCTTAAATGCAATATTTAAAGGTCTATGTTTATTTGATTTTTAATAGTTCTATTAGTAAAAAGGAACTGGAAATCGTTGTAAGTGTGAAATACCCCCTGAAATGTGATTTAGAATATTTCAGCCATTTAAATAGTAGAGTTTCATTTTTATCAGCTTGTGAATTGACAACAGAAAAGGGTTGACATCTTATGCTATTTCACCTTTTGGACATCTCTGCTAAACTTCAGCTTAATGCTGAATTGTTTGCATATCAAAATTTGTTTTTTTTTCTAAAGTAAGGATAGATTCTTAAATATGTTAGATTGTTATGTTTACACTACTTGTGATCAATCCTGTATTTAACTCAACTATCCTAGATATTTCTGTTTGCCCAGGGAGATTGTCTTTTCCAGCTGTGTGGATTGTCACAGTGCTTTTAACATTTAAATTGCTACATAGAAACTTTTGTCTCGACTTGAAGACTCTTCAAGTGGGGATCAATGTTTCTGTTTCCTCCACTTCTATCCTCACTTGGTACAGTTGATTTTCACCACTCTTTTTATTGTGAAGGGCCTACATTTCTCCTCAGTAGAATTAAATATATCTGCTGAGGAGAAGGAACATCAGATTGCAATTAATATAATAACAATCTTCCAACTAAAATATTCATATCTTTTTTTTTTTTTTTTTTTTAAGCCTACATTTAATGTTCCAGAACAGGAGGTCATAGAACATAACCAAGTCCAACAAAGATTGCAGAAAGCATAATTCTTGTTATTAGCATCCCATCACCACATGAGGGTGACAGGTGGTGATCTACAAATGCCACCACACCCAACAGAAGCTCTCAGTGAGGAAATGAGCGCCTTCAAAAAGTGCAATTTTATGGCAGTGAAGAACAATTCAGATCTGTTATTGTTAGGTAACTCTAAGATAAATGTCAAAGTCAATATTTATGGTGCCTTGTGGGAACTCAAAATGTCTCTCAGACATTTTTAGAGGTTCCAGGCCTTGGTCAGAAGCATTCTAGACCCTGGCAGACAGCTGAAAAAACAACTGTGATTTTGAGTTTGAGCCATGGAATGAATTACCAACTTTGGAGGTGGAACGAGCAGTCACAAAAGGTTAGATAGTATAGTATAAGTAGTTACAAAGTAGAGGGGAAATTTTTTTAGTACTGTACAGGGGGGTTTTAACACATGTACAGGGGGGGTTTTCACTTTGTACATGGGGGTCAGAAGTTCTAAGATGGAGGAAAGTGGGCTGAACCCATCCTTCTTCCTTCTTCTTCCTTACCTCCATGTTCTTGGTGATGTTGGCACTCACAGATTGGTTTAGAGTAGAAAAACACTTGGTAACGTAGGTAGTAGGTATTGGGGAATAATTGTAAACATGTTATACGTAATATATCTTATAAAAGATAGCAGCAGCCCTGGGTGGAGGGAGAGACGAAGAAGACAGCAGATCGAGAGGATGTCGGGGTGTGTGTGTGCCTCTACCCAGGCCGCTGATCAAATAGCTGCAGTCCAAGAACATAATCTGTTAGATAACTAGCAATGAACTGCCTTGAGACCGAACAGCTAAGCCTGCGGAGTTTTTCTTTGGAAGCACGGGTTGGAGAAGGAATTTCACCACCACATGAGGACCCAAAGCAAGGCTGGGTTCTCACAGTGCCTGAAAACATGCTTTTTAGATTATTGGCTGTGTAGGATGCTGCACCCTGTAGTTATCTGCAAGAGCACTGGTGCTGCATGCAGACCTAGCAGTCATGTATTCTGGAGTTTCCTAAAATAACCCTGTGTCCTAATTTTTCAAGAGATGGGAAGAAAGAAATTTATGTAAGAGGGTCTTGATTACAAAATGTAAAATTATGTTTAAATAGAAATCTCTTTCAGAATTACCCATTAATTTTATTATTTAGTTGAGCTGTAGTTAACTATTTTAATTGATGTAATTTTCAAAATAAAAATGCCTATTGACTTTATTTTTGATCCATGAAATGATACACTCATATTGTTTACTTCTGAAATCGAATATGATACAAGAGTGGTGATAATAAGCACAAAACCAAATTTTGAACTCCAATGTAGCATGCATAAACAGCATGAGAAGATAGCATTTGCCAGTTATGAACTGCTAAGAAAGAAAGAGTTTTAGATTTATATGTCAGTCATTTTTTGAAATAATTTTTTGTGGATTTTTAATTTTTTTTTTCATTTTAGAGGTTTTTTAAGCTAAATAACACAAAATTAGGATTAAGGCAATGCTTTTATCCACTATGGTAGGTGCATGTTGGGAAAAGAAGAAACAAGACCAAAAAGTGCTCTGCTACCTTGTCGTCTCTCTTGGGATCATTGTATTGTGCCTGCTGTGACATTTAGGGCTCAGCTCCATCACTTGGCTCCAGACGTGCATTAAATCCCGAACTGAAAAAAAAAAAAAAAATAGAGCTATAACTTCAACAATAAAGTATTTAAGGTTGGTACTTGCAGATCAACTATTTTGTCTGTCTTGGTTTGAACAGCCAGGTATCTGCTAAGGAAGGCAGGAGATTCTCTTGAAATGGAAAACGTAACTCCCGTCCCTCTAAATTATTACAATTTTTGAAATTAAGGGGCTCTCGGGCAAAGATATGGGAGTAGGAATAAGAGGTCTTTATTAGGGAAAAAATAAAAATAAAATAAAAATGCAGTAATAAAAACAACCCTGCCAGAGTCAGAGCAGCCCTGTCCCCTGTGGGTCAGGGAGGTGGCTCAGCCCCATCCCAGGGTGGCTCAGCCCTCCTGTAGTGCCAGCTGTGCTTCTGCTGGAGCAGGATCCTGCACAAGGGGGGAGTTTTCCTCTGGAGCTCCAGGGCTGGGGGAGATGGGCCTGGGCTCCTCTGGGAATGCAGGGGGAAGAAAGCTGCTCCTCTGGGAATGCAGTGGGAAGAAAGCTGCTCCTCTGGGAATGCAGAGGGAATAAAGCTGCCCCTCTGGGAATGCAGGGGGAAGAAAGCTGCTCCTCTGGGAATGCAGTGGGGAAGAAAGCTGCTCCTCTGGGAATGCAGGAGGCAAAGGCTGCTGTGCTGTTCCCAGGTCAGATTGGATCCAGGTAGGAATGCTTGGCTCCTCCCCTGGGCAGAGCATCTCCCCATGGATGATGGAATTTTCTCAGCCATGCAGGGACACTCACTGGCCACGAACAGGAGATAATTAATAATTAATGGTCCATGAACAACAGAGATCTCCTGGTGGGGGATTGGCTGTGGGACAGATAAAGAAAAGTGCCCCATGAACAGCAGAGAACTGTCCCAGCTCTGACAGATGGCAATAGAATACACACCCCAGCCACATCTTCTGTTTGCAACCTAAGATGTGTCTCTAGTTGTGTTTGTTTGGTGCGGTTCTTTGAAGCTTCCTCTGGTGTAAAGGGCTGTGAATTTGGAGTCAGGCTCAGAGTTTCTGCTCCTCCAAAGAACAGTGAGAGCAGATTTACTGCTTGCACATAAAAACTAACGAATCTCTTCAAGCCCTGCCATAAAACGGCAATTCTTTTTGTACCTAATTAGAGGGCCTGAAAAAGAGGAAATTGGACCAAAACCCTGTAAAATTAGCTTCATCAGAACAAAGTGGAAACAGATGAAAAACCCACAGTGACTCTGTAATAATAACACTGCAATCCTTACATATCTTGGTTTTTATGGATTTCTTGCTCAAGACCCCATTTGAGTCTTCCCCCACATATTTAATCCTTATATTATGGATTTGCCTGCTTGGTGATGCTTATGGGCAAGTTAGTGTCCTGCTCATAGCCTTGTCAGATAGCAATTTCTTGGGCAGATAATTTTTTTCCCCTTTCCCAGGGTGTTTCCTTAGAAATAACATAGGAATTTCTGGGCAAAATCACTGTATTTTTGAGAACATTTCCCACATTACACATTTTGAGAACATTATGTTTACCCAGAATTTCTGGGTAAAATAACTGTATTTTTGAGCTAGTAAAAAAAAAATCAGTGGTCTTAAGTTGAAGTGAAATTTGGTATGTTAATAATTTGGGCAAGGGTTTGAAATCTGGCAGGGAATCAGGAATGTGACATTTTCTGAAAATATCCCCAATTTAACCAACCTTCAAGGCTGGCTTCAAAAAATTGCACTTTGCACACGTGCAGTAAATGTGTGTTATGTTAGTAGCTTAAATCTGATTTCTAAACATTCCTAGGAGTAACAGAAGCACTGGAAATATCCAACGTAGTTTTCTTTGGTGAGAGTTACTCTGAAAAACCTGATGGAAGGCCTTTAACTTGGATCCAAAAAAGCTCCCCATTTGCAAAAAGGTTCCACCATCCCCTTTTGTCCTGGTAGATGTGGAATTAGGACTTGTGAAAAGGATCTTAGAAAATGCCATGAGCAAATGAACAATTCTATCATCTGTGTTTAGTGAGTATATTACAGAGCTGTTTGCTACTATAAAAAGTACTGAAAATACTTAATGGCTTCTTGCTTAATGAGATCAATTAATCTGTGAATGGAATTAGCAGTGGGTAAACATGGCCACAACAATATTATAGTACCTAAACATAGGCTTTGTGCTGGGGCTTGATAGCTTTTACAGGATTGACACTTGCCACTTTAGTATTCTTCTAGCATCCTTTTTGGGTGATGAGTTAATAGCTGTCAAAGTGGGACTTTGATGCTGTAAAAGGACTTGGTTTTGCATATTTATGAAGATTTGCTTGCACATTTGTAAATTTGGTTATTCACTTGAGGACACTTATTTATATAAATGGCTCAAAAAGCCTTGTCCACTAGCAATTTGTTAGAAAGTAATCTACACTAATTTCATCCCCTAGGAATATTTTTGGGGTCAAATATTATTTTTAGCTTAAGAAATTAATGATTAGGCCTCTTAACATTCTGAACTTGTGTTTTCACTTGGACTTTTAAGACGGTGCTAATGATTCCTGACTTCAGCTCTTGGTTGTGCTATCACCAGAGACTTAGACATATCCCATAAAATGCTTTTTGGAAGCCTTCTTAATTTCTGCTTTAGAGAATGCAGTGGACAGGTGATGATGAAGTGCAGGTATATTTCAATTTCTCTTGGAGGCCCAGATGAGATCCATCCTGCTGACAATGTCCTCTGCATATTGATTCCTCTATTGGTAAATTTAAATTGTAATTAGCACTTTTATGGAGGCCAGACACAAGCATGGTTTTCAGAGATGGGGATGCAGCAAAATTATTGCAAAAATTACTGAAAATACTTAATGGCTTCTTGCTTAATGAGAGTATCTTGGAACTCTAATCTGCTAGAAAGTCTCTGCTCTCCCCGCCATAAAAATATCCCCACTGTTCAAATCAGCACCTCCGTGCATTTATTTCCTCACCAAAACATTGGAAATTTCTTTTGGCTCTCACAGAAAATTCACAATAAGAAAGATTAAAAAAATATGCCATGAATGGAAAAGCATTTTTGAACTAAATTTTAGATGAAAGTGATTCATTAAACAAAAATTATATTATCTAACTGTTTTGATTTCTTCCCTCAGAGCAACTCATGTTTCATTTTCTCCTATTTTCATCTGTACTTTGTTTCTCTTACAAAAACAATAAACTGAGTATCTGGAGGGTTCCATTTTTTCTTCTTTTCTATTTTATCTTTCCTGGATATCAAGAGTTCAGGAATGTTAATTATTAAAATATGGGACATCGATGCTTTTGGACTCATCTGTTGAGGAAGTGTCAAAAAATTAGAGTGAAAAATGAAAAAGGAAATCAATGTAGGTAAAAAAATTAACTTAAACATATATTGTATTTCATTGTTATAGAATAAGAAAGCAGTGGCAAATAATTGGAAATGCTTCTTTTAAGTAGTATTTCTGGACCTTGAACAAATTGAAGTTTTTATGTTAAACAAAGCACACAGTGAAACAGAGAATAGAAAGTAAGGTGATGTACTTGAAAACTGTTCCCTGTGAATTTTTGATGAGATCCATTTGAATTCTTTTGAAGGAGTAAAATAATATTAAATCATATAGGATAAAAATTATGCATTTTTTCAGTGTTTCTAGAACCAAAACGTGCAACCTTTTAGTATAGTCCTATTAAAATGTCCTTAAACCCAGTTAGTTCAGAGTAGGTGCTAAGTGATGCAAATAGAAATGTTTTGTCAAGTATATTTATAATCCACTAATTTTTCCTTTGCAGGAGTATCTCAAGGGAAGTGTGGGCATGATGACATCAATCCTTCTTGTGCTGCCAGAATTAAACCTGTCCATAAAAGAGATGGGGAGACACAGTGAACCATTTTAAAGGATGGCAGAGTTCCCGTGGTAAGTTAATGCCCAAGCCAAACTACCTCCCTTTAAGGGCTCTACAACTCCTCTTCTCTGGCCTTTAAATATACATGATGTCTTTAAATGCCCCAATATAGGTAAAACCACAATCCAGCTGAGATTTAGTCTCTGTAATGCTGATCTAGGTCTGGATATTTGTGCTTTTGATTTATTAAAAATACGGATATTGATCTAGTACCGATACCCAACTGTGGCGGACAAAAGCTCTCTAACAGTTTAAAGTTAGAAAGTGTGTGTTTACAAAGCTCCTGCTCTGAATTATTAAAGAAATATGGATATTGGTCTAGTACTGATACCAAACTGTGATGGACAAACCCTCTCTACCAGTTTAAAGTTAGAAAGTGTGTGTTTATTCAATTCCGGGCAGCGTGCGGGATAGCTCCTGAATCCACACCACAGCTTCCAGGTGATTACAGAGTCCTTTTATCCATACAAATATTTAATACTCAAAATACAAATATATATTCACAATTTTAGTACATCCCATTCCTTAGTTTATATGCTAATCACTCCAAAAGCCATTCAGCATGCGTGGTTTGTTCCTTGACATGGGTTGGTGTCCCTTTCATGGGGAGGGACCCCAAAATAAGGAACTCAATGAAGTCTTCCTCCTTCTGACCTTTCTACCTTTTCAATGCAGATATGACAAATGAACTCTTGGTAGAATTCCCATTCCTTGTCTTCAATTGGTTTCAGAACAGAGGAGGCCCACAATTGTCTTATGTTCCTAAAAGCTCTTTGTCAGTTTCTATATTCTTCATTATAAACCCAGCTAACTAAACATTGTGCTGACAAGCAATCAGTTATTAGTTAACTACTAACTCTTAACTTCATCAAGGCCTACCCATTTATTTTAATTAACTCTAGTAAGGCTTATTTTTAACTAAAATCTTAGCTCCTCTAAAATCTCTAAATTCCTTAAAATTTACATTTCACTGTCACACCCTCCTGGCCTATGAAAGTTTGCTGGTGCAGCTGGGAGGGAATGCCTGCTGCCATCCCACTTCAGGCCGTCCGTGCGAGCTGCAATCCATAATTCCAGCTCAGCCCTGTCTCAGGGAGCAGTTTCTCATAATTGCAACCTAAATGTTTCATGTGGCAGAAGGAAGGATGGGTGGGAAAAGCTCTGAGCGTGGAGTGTGAATGAGCTCGCAAAAGGCAGCGATGGCTCTTACCCTCTCTTGGTTATACAGATAAAATTGTGGGGAGAAAGTGAATCAAGAGTTTCCACCTCTCCTGTTGGATATTGAGGGGTTGTTTGTTTGTGGGTTTTTTTTAGGATTATGAATCTTAACCATGTAGCATTCAGAAAACAAATGCAATGTGTGCAATTAATGGCTCCATCCTACTGAGCTGCTAATTTAAAGAGATACAGTTTTTTCTTTAGCTGTTTAAAGGAAACCTTTCCTTGTGCTCAATAATTAAATAATTATTTCCACTTTATGCTTTCATATGACTTTTTCCTTTCTAAATTCAGTAAATTTCTGCAGAAGGTATGATTATAAGTAAATTCAAACACTTGCTTTGTGTTGTTTTTTCCTGTCTGTTATTTGTAATGCCACTTACTTGTCATAACCCTATGATTCATTATGAATAATGCAGTCCTAGTGAAAATGGCTTTATTGAAGTGAGGGTGCAATGGTTTCTTTGTAATCTCTTCTGTGTTTAATTCTTTGATTTGAAAATGCAGGTTTTAGAGACTCCACTTAAGAAGATGGATACAGAAATGCAGTAGAGCAGTTCAATTTTGGATTTTGCCTTTGTTGGTGAGTGAAAACCACATTCTTTACATGTGTAGGACAGCCTGCTCCTAAGTTCTGGTGCTGGTAACTAAGATACAGTGCAGTAAGGTGTATGTTTCTCAGAAATAATTCATTTATTAGGATTGTGGAGATGTCCATGTAAACATAATTGAGAATGGTTTGGAAGATTTTTTTAAAAAATCTAATTTCTCATATGCTATTTTGTATTTCTTTTGCCCTTGTTTTACCAGTAGCTTGTGGCTGTGTTATTCCTCTGATTTTGGTGGAAGACATTATGTTATTATCAGACATATCTGTTATTATTGTGAACCAGGAATACCCTATGATCATAATTTCTGGCTCTTTGCCACAGACCAAAACGCACATTTTTCAATATACTGAGCTGCTGGTTTGGAAATTAATGGAAATACTTCTTAAAAATTGTGGTGTTTTGCTCTGATTTTTTTTTTTTTTTAATTGCTATTTTCTTACATTTCCTCAATCTGCTTTTCCTTAGCTTATAAACTAGGTTGTCTTGCAATACATAATTTCTGTTTTTTAAAGAAAAATATTTCTGATACTTCTAAGCTATTTCTCACTGGAATTCATGCTGACTTGTATAAGCTGAGTAACTAGATTTAGAGATCTGTCCTATTAAAAGAACAAAAGTAAAAATTGATGTGTCTATGAAAATGATTGGAAAATTTAGAATAGTTTCACACATGCACCTGCGACATCATGAAAATCACTTTAAATTTAACAAAACTCTTTTGAAAAATTATTTTCTATTCTCTTGTAGTAATAATCTTGGAGAGCAGGTACTGATAAGTCTTGGGTAAAGTACTGAGTAAAACAGTGATGACCCACTGCACATATGGCTTACTCAGGGAAGAATCATCCACTGGCAGCAATTCAGTACAATCACAGAAATTCCTCCTGTGAAAGGTTTACCTTTTTTCCTTGTGTGTGATAGCCAAGGCATTTGTATTCCTGAGCATGTACAGATATTAGATAATTTAAATCAGGGAATGCACTTCTTTCCCAATTTTCCTTCTTTGATCCAATACAGTAATTTGGTTTATACCTTTGAATAGCTTTGGATCCAAGCAGAAGCTGAAGGTGCTCCACAATCTCTTGACTCCAGAATGTGTGACTTTGCTGTTGTTAACCCAGGGCACTGAAGGTGAGTCCATATCTGACTTCTAATCAAAACCAAATCTGCTTCACCTTCCCTGTGATAAGCCTGGATTTTGACTTTGTGTGGGCTCCACAGTGATTTGTGAGTGATACACAGAATGAGAAATCCTTTTTCCAAAGGGCAGGCAGACCTCAGATATTTGCTCAGCTTGCTAGATTTACTTAAATTTCAAACAGCCAGGAAGAATATCAACTGAGAAACTATTACTATTGAAAAGAGATTTCAGAATACATTGAAATAAATGTGTTAAAAGTCTGTGACTTAGCAGCTGGGGATACACCTACTTATATAGAGACACATAAATCTCCTTTCCTGCCCAAAAAAACCAATAAAAAATTGCATGGCAGTTCTAGGGTATCACCTGGATTCATCTGAGTTTGCCAGGTTTGCAGTCGTGCCAGATTAAATTTATGTACAAACATGTTCCTGTTGTAAAGGAGATCTGTGTGTCCTCCCAGTCACAATGTGAGATTCAGTATAGTAATAAATTGGCTTGATGAGCACGTGTGAGCCATCCCTACTTTAGTTTTACAACCCTGTCAGCTCTACGGTGACAAACACCTCAGAACTAGGTTTGTTTTGGACAGTTTTCCCCCAAAATATTCAGTCAGCCTCCATTTTTATCCCTCATGGCACCGTTTGAATTGCAGGAGCAGCCAATAAACCTGTGGGGGATCCCCTCCTGCACTGGGAGGAATCAGAGTGGTCTGATGGCTGATTTCACCCTGAGCTGCTCCACAGGAACCGATTTTAGCCAATCTGTGCCCCAGCTGCTCTGCAGGTAGGTTGGTTCCAGGTAGGAGGGTGCTTTTACCTGCTTGGGAAATTCTTACAGTGGAGGCATCAATTAAATATCCTTACACAAGCTGTGCTTAGAGATGCCTCAGAAACATTTTCTCTGTGCTTGAGAAAAGAAGAAGCCTTTTCTTCACAGCCAGTCTGCTTCTGGGACCTCTTTCAGGTGTGTTCCTGATTCCAGGCATCTCCTCATAATCCCACTGGGTGCTATAGAAGGTAACTAAAGAAGCATCCAGATGAATTTTTTTTTTTTTTTTTTTTGCCCAACCATGAGTAAAATATCTGTTGATCATCACAGTTAGCTCAGTCTCCTACTCCTCTTGAGATTTTGGTAGCTTCTCTCCACCCCATTTCTGTGATTTCTTGCATCATATATTGCTGTACTCAAAGAAATTCTTCCTATGCAAGGGAAAAGAATACCCAAAACTGCATATGATAAAATACTTTTGATTTTTAATTCATTCATGGGCAGATCCATTCTAAAACGTTGCTTAAATCTGATGCGCTCAATTGGCATTTCCAACCTTACCAGTCTTTGTCTTCCACTTGGTAGGAGACATTTCAGTGTCATCTCGTGCTGCTGAGATGAATTTTTCTGGAGATTCTGCATGACTCTTTAATGCAGTAGTGCCTGAGTGTGGGAATCCAGAGCTTCCCTCTGGCTGCCCTGGCAGGTCTGGGAGCCTGGCAGGGGTCAGGAACCCCCTGGACAGAGCCCCCAGAGACACTGGCTGTGATCTCTGGCCATGGAAAAGAGTTTTCAATCTTACAGGATAAATTACAGGCTATGAGTGTTTGATGTAAGTAATAATTAAGCATGGCACGGATGCAAAAGTAAAATTTTAGGATTCTAGATGAGGGGTCCAAAGGGGACAAATGGAGGAAATTGGGTGTTCCTTGTCCTTTTTCTCCTTCTTCATGCCCTCCATGTTTCACTGTGGTGTTGGCATTTTTCTGTTGGTTCAGGCTGGGGACACACTGTCCAATGTAGGTGACAGATCTTGGCACGTTCTTGTAAATCCAGCCCAGGGAGTTTCTGGTATTTAATGTTTGTCACATCCCACTGAGGGCAGAGCCCCACACGCTGCCCTGCAGGACAGAGCTGGGCAGGGCAGCAGAACATGTGAGAGATAAACAGAATAAACAACCTGGAAACCAGCACAGACCAGTTATGGCTTCTGCTTTGGCAGGGGGCTGAGAGACAGAGACTTTCTACAATCTGGGAATCATCAATAGCTCAGATTCTGACACCTGAGCAGCCCTGCACCTGCTCAGAATGATGCACAGGGCTAAAGTGTTTCCTGTGGAACACTTTTGAGAACCATTTCTAGCGCAAAGACTTGCCAAGCAGCTGTGCCAGCCTCTGTTTTTGCACTGCAGCAGAGTTCTGCAAATAGAAAACAATTCTGTAGTCTGTACCAAGAGTCTGTACTTGGCAACAGTTGTTTGCTTCAACTTTATTACAACTTCCAGTGATTTAAAAAAATCTCTGAAAACAAAGATGAATATTAGAGTTCCTCACAGGTGACTTGAATTCTGACAGCTCCCAAGATAACTTAGAAAACCCCCCAGCGTTTTTCTTCCTCTTTCAGAGAGAATTATACAAGACATTTAGATACTTCTTAGGGGGTCATCAAAAGCTGAAATTTAAAATTTATAAATTCATTAGTTTCAATCCAAGTAAGTCTGCCACACCTCTTGTTTTGTGCATTTGTAATGGCAGAAGAGACAACATGAGGGGCTGAGTGTGACTCTGTTGTTGGCCAGCTGCAAAGGATTGAATTAAATTGAAATGAACTTCCAGCTGATTTTGATTTTTAAAGAAAAAATTCCAGCTTTGACATTTCAGAAAATAGGTTGGAAATTAGAAGTTTTTCTTTTTTTTTAAAAAAAGCATGAAATATTTTCTAAACTTATTTCACAGTTTAAGAGATTCTTGTTTTCATAGTCTGTGACTGTTCATTGCTGAAGGGAGCAAAACTTTAAAAAACTTTTAAAAATAGCACAAAGGAGTCAGTTTTGATGTGTTGGCATTCCTGGCTTAGCCCATTTCCAGCTAACCAACTGAACCTTCTTCCTGTGCAGTTTTTACACCCTTTTTTAAAATTTGAGGTATCATCCTCCTACTGCCGAGTTTTATTTTGGTGATAAATTGCTAAAAAAAAGAAAATTATTTTGTCCAAATGATTTTTACATGAATATAATCTGAATTGAAAATCCACATTTTAAAGTAACTTCTTCAATTACAATACCATAAACCAAATATTTTAAATTAATTTAAATTTATACTTTTATACTTTATTAATTTAAATTAATACATCAAGCTGGTTTTTAGAGTGTTAAATTTTTTATTATGTCAATAGTTTTCCATTACAAGCTACTGCATTTTGAAAATAACATCCAAGGAATAAGAGATGATGAAATTCACACAACAAATAGCTATTCTGTATTCAATACCCATTAGTTCAGTGCATCATTTCAAGTGTTCATTAGTCTCATGAAGCAGAGACCTTATCTCAGCAGGTTTTATAATTTAAGCTGTCTGTGGTGAGTGAAGGAAAGGGAGTTTGCAGAGCATTGTTTGAGATGGAGAAATGCATCCTAAAGGGTGAAGGGTCTATTGGGAAGTTCTGTGGTCCCCTCTTGAATATGGGGGAATGTCTGTGTGCAATTCATTATTATCTTAAATAGAGTACCTGACAAAAGTGATCTATGATAGGGCAGAAGAAATTACTTCATCTTTTTTGGTTTTTTAAAAAATATTAATGTTGAGTTGCACTTTTTTGTTCCTTGATGAAACACAGAAGGGCTGAAAAACTGAAGGTTTAGAACATAAGTTGGTAGTACAGGTGCTGCCCACTCAGCCTTGTCTGGAAGGTGTCAAAAGAAATAATACAATGAAATTATCAGTGAAAACATCTCACTGGAATCCAAGGAGCTAAAAAAAATTTTAGGCATAATTTCAAATAATTGTTGTTTGATTTTGGCTGGGAATTTAATGAAATGAGAGGCAGAAGTGTTCCACACATTACCCGGGGCACAAATCTGAATATTTTAGTAATTTGTGGAAGAAGGATTGAAAAAATTAACGTCTTCAAAAATATATCCTATTAAAAAATTAAACAATTCCCAACCCTGTTGCTTTCCATATCTAACAGAATAAACAAGACAGAATCCCCCTTATTTCTTCAATTTTCCCACTAGCAAGTATGAAAAAAACATCTCCCAAATCTTGCCATTCATCACAATATCTGATCATGCAGCAAAGATTTTTTGGGTCAATTAACTGTTCTTGATAACATCAGGATAGTCTGTTGTGTGCCAAAATGTCAATCTAAATTCAGGCAATACCTTTAGCTTTTAGGAGAGGCCCCAAATTCTCTGTTGTGCTGGGTCACACTGTTTTGCAGAGCCAGAAACGTGGGCATGCTGTAAAATCTGGCTCACAGCACCAAGTTTCAGATTAATGGAGGCTGAGAGCTAAGTGTTTTATCACAAATAAGGGAGAAGAAATGAATAGGAATTCCATCAGGAGTCTATTAAAGGCATCCTTGTTGCTGCAAGCCAAGCCTGCTTGCTGCAAGCACAGAATCACGTTCATTTGATATCAGTATAGAGTGAAAATATATTTTTCAGGCTAGGTAGAATTATTAAAGGGGAAAAAAAAGGTCTTGATATACGTATTTTTCCCCCATCTCCACTCACAAAGGAAGCAACCCAAGAGCCTCCAGTAATATTTTTAGGCTCTATACGGGTCCCAGGTGATGCTTTTCTCTCGGATAGTCTTGCAGTGACAGCAGACCTTTAACTGAAACATCTTTCACTGAAGCTTTCCTCATAAAAGGCTGAAAGAGATAACACAGAAAGAAGACAGGCTGTCAAGAAAATTGATGGTGGGAAGGAATCTCAGCTTTTTCCTTTCACCAAGCACCAACAAAGTGCCTGATCAGTCACTTAAACCCTTCACAGTGCTCTAGTGCTCAAAAAGGGCCTGTGCAAAGAAAATACAATTAATTCCATGTTGTGGGAATCCAGGGCTTCCCTCTGGCTGCCCTGGCGGGTCTGGGACCCTGGCAGGAGTCAGGAATCCCCCTGGACAGAGCCCCCAGAGACACTGGCTGTGATCTCTGGCCATGGAAAAGAGTTTTCAATCTTATAGGATGAATTACAAGCTATGAGTGTTTGATATAAGTAATAATAATGTTTGTAACATCCCACTGAGGGCAGAGCCCCACACGCTGCCCTGCAGGACAGCTGGGCAGGGCAGCAGAACATGTGAGAGATCAACAGAATAAACAACCTGGAAACCAGCACAGACCAATTATGGCTTCTGCTTTGGCAGTGGGGCTGAGAGACAGAGACTTTCTACAATCTCAGAATCATCAATACCTCAGATTCTGACACCATGTAGCTCTTCCCACAAGGACACGGCAGAGCCACTCAAACAGGAGTCGGTGCATGGTGGTGCCATGGCTGCAATGCTGGTAGGAGGCATTTTAAGGTTTGGTTGTGTACAATTTCAGGAAAGGGGTTTTCTCCTTCCCCTGCACAGGCACAGGAAAGCCAATTATCAGGGATTTCTGCCCAGTGCATGGTGGCACATGTGCAATTGATGCAGGACAGTTTTAAGGTCAGCAGTAGAAGTGACAATGGTGTTCTGGCACCAGAAAACTGCAGTTTCCTTGGTGGTGGAGCCAGGGGAGAGAAAGAACAGAGTTTGGACTTTTCCCCGTGTGTTTTGTTGTTGCCTAGACTGGATTCTGTGCTGGTGGTTTTGCTTGCATAACATTTTTCATCTCATATTTAGATTTTAGTGCCACTTTTGTGGGAATGGCAGTGTCCCCTAGTCACTCTTTTCTGAATGGGACCTGAACCCCAGCTTGCCTGGTGCTGGTGTTAATATAAATGACCACATC